GTTTCAATCCAAGGGAATTGTTTAATTTTTGTCGACTTCATGTCATCAAATACATAAGCGCGAATACTCTCATTCATCTTCCGTTTATTATTTTGTTAAAAACTTGGGATAATTTTCCCAAATATTCAATTTTTCAAAACTCACACTTTTTAAGTCAAAACTTCGACGTTAGGTCGTCGTATTTTCGAAAACTCGTCCATACCCATTTTCGGCCAAAACAATTTATTTTTTATCAAACAAATATTTTTAATAAACAAATATTTCAAAAGGTTCCTATAGAATACTATAGATACATTGGGTGCTAATACCTTCCCATTGTATAACCAACCCCCGAACTCTAGACCTCTTTTCAAAAACGCCTTGTATTTTCATTACTTTTAAAAGTAATTTTACATTGCATACTTTAGGGTTTTATCTCGCTCTTTCCCCTTTTCCCTTGGAAATAATAAAGCGCGGTGGCGACTCTTGTTCTTGTGAGACGAATTAATTAATAGTTCGATCTCCGATTTACCCCGCTACATTTTTTATCGCTACAGTAGCCAAGAATTATTGGTACCGAATAGGCAAGGGATCGACAAGCAAGGATGAAGGAGCGGACCTTGCACGCCAAGATTCAGATGATTCTCAAGGTGGTATGGTAGTTATGGTTGCAATTGCAAATAATTATGTCGAATCCAAGATCTGGTTCCTCGACTCAGGCTGCTCGAATCACATGACTGGTCGAAAGGAGTGGTTGACAAATTTTGACGAGTTGAAGAAGAGCAAGGTAAAACTTACTGATAATAGTTCGTTGCAGGCATAAAATACCGGCAACATAGTTTTTAAAATGAGTAATTGAGGGAAAGCTATGATCAAAGACGTGCTCTATGTACCTGGAATGAAGTTTAACTTGCTAAGTGTTGGACAACTAGTCGAAAAAAGTTTCTCAGTTATCGTGAAAGATGGAGTTTTAAAATTGTTCGACACCAAGAACAATTTGGTCTTAAAATCTCCTCTGTCGAAGAATAAGACGTTTAATACTATGATCAATTTGATTGAAGTACAATGTCTAAAAACTGTTGTCGACCACAAGGATAGTTGGTTGTGGCATTTGAGGTTTGTACATTTGAACTTTCGATCACTCAATCAGCTGATTACTCGAGATATGGTTACTGGTATTCCAAGTATTAACATGCCCGACAAACTCTGTGAATGATGTTTAGTCGAAAAGCAAACCATAAATTATTTCGTCTCGACTATGCCAATGAGATCATCATGCATACTCGAAGTGGTACTTTCATATGTATGTGGTCCGTTCGAAGAACATACCATTTATGGAAACAGATATTTTGTTTCGTTTGTCGGTGAGTTCAGTCGAAAGATGTGGATCTATGTGACAAGAGAAAGGATAAAGTATCCGAAATCTTTAAGAGATTCAAGATGATTGTCGAAAACCAGAGCGAGAAGAGGATCAAAGTTCTGTGAACAGATAGAGGTGGCGAATACACATCCAAGATGTTTGAAAAGTTTAGTGCAAAACATGGTGTTGATCATAAGGTAAATGGTCCTTATACGCCTCAACATAATGGAACTGCAGAAAGAAGAAACAGAACCATATTGGATATAGCGAGATGCATGCTAAAGTAGAAAAATTTGCTAAAATCCTTATCGGGTGAAGTTGCTTCGACTGCGGTTTATTTTATGAAGATATGCCCTACTAAGATTTGAAGAACAAGGTTCCTGAAAAAGTGTGGAGTGGCAAACGACCATCATTAAGTCATTTAAAGGTGTTTGGATCTATGTGTTACAAGAATATTCTTGATGCAAGAAGAAGGAAGCTTGATGACAAGAGTGAACCTATAGTTCTGGTAGGATATCATAAGATTGGTCCATACAGGCTATTCAATCCAGTTAATGAGAAGATTGTGTTGAGTCAAGATATTGTGATTGATGAAAATTCTTCCTGGGATTGGAATTCTAGTAATTCAATTAACAAGCCCTTGACGAGCTCTGATTTTGATGAAGAAACTGATGAAGTCGAAGTTGAAGCAGTTGCTGACATTCCAGAAACAGTCGAAGTCGAAGTTGAAGCAGTTACTGACATTAAAGAAACAATTGAAGTCGAAGAGGATGAGGCTGAAACAAGTCAAAGACCTTAAAGAAATAGAGTTCTTCCAACAAGATTTCATGAATATGAAGTAGTATGTGATGATGAAGTCACACCAGATGAAGAATTAGTTCATCTTGATTTACTTGCAGGTGTTAAACCAATCAACCATAACGAAGCTTTAAAGATTAAACAGTGAAAGTTAGCTATAGTCGAAGAGTTACAAGCAATAGAAAGAAAGAATACATGGGAGTTAGTCGAATTGCCAACATACAAAAGCTATCAAAGTGAAATGGGTGTTCAAGTTAAAATAAAATGTTGATGGGTCGATAGCAAGACATAAAGCAAGATTAGTAGCTTAAGGGTTTATTCAATGAGAAGGACTCGACCACTCTGAAGTATTTTCTCTAGTAGCAGGATTGAAGATTGTTTAACTAGTGGTAGCATTAGCATGCAACCAAGCCTGGTCGACATTTCATTTTGATGTGAAATCAACATTTCTGAATGGTCCTTTAGACGAAGAGGTATATGTCACATAACCTCCAGGGTTTGTGATTCAGAAGGAAGCGAGTAAAGTATATAAGTTGCACAAAGCGCTCTATGGTCTCAAACAGGCACCTAAGGCATGGAACAATAAGATAGACTCATACTTAGTCGAATTGAGATTTGTCAAATGCAAATCAGAGTATGTTGTCTATGTTCAAGTTGTAGCACATGATATAACAATCATATGTTTATATGTCGATGACTTTCTAGTAATTGGAAATAGCTTAGAGAACTTGTCGAAGTTCAAAGAGTTGATGATGAAGGAATTTGAAATGTTGGATATGAGAAAATTGGCTTATTTCTTAGGCATGGAATTTCAAATGTCGAAGCAAGGTATGGTGCTACATCAAAGGAAGTATGTCAAAGAGATACTTAAGAGATTCAGAATGGATGATTCGAATCCTGCATCCTCATATGTTGAATAAAATTTGAAGTTGGAGAAGCATGGAGAGGAAGACAAAGTCGATGCAACTTTGTTCAAACAAATTATTGGATCTTTGAGGTATGTGTGCAACAGTCGACCTGATATAGGTATTACTGTCGGATTAGTAAGCAGATATATAAGTGAACCGAGAGTGTCACATATGAAGGTACCAAGAAGAATCCTGAGATATTTGAAGGGTTCGACAAACTGTGGAATACTATTTCGACGAGACTCTAAAAGCAAAGAAGCAATAACTACTTGTTTATCAAATGCAAATTGGTGTGGATATAAGGAAAATCGAAGAAGCATAACTGGATAGTTCTTTCAAGTATTTGGTGCCCCAATCTCACAGTGTTCAAAAAAGTAACCTGTGATGACATTGTCATCGTGTGAAGCTGAATATATAGCAGGATTCTATGCAGCATGTTAAGCAATTTGGATCAGATTAGTACTTGAAGAAATGGAGGTCGAAGTGAAGAAATCTCTTGTGTTGCAAATCGATAACAAGTCAGTCACAAATCTGACGAAGAATCTAGTTCTGCATGGAAGGAGTAAGCATATTGTAGCTAAATTTCACTTCCTAAGGGAAAAGGTAAATCGATGTGAACTTGAAGTTAGACATTGTTCAAGTGAAACACAATTGACCCACATTTTCACCAAATGATTGAAAATCGACGAATTCCTAAATTTGAAAAAGAAATTAAGAATAATTCAGATCGACTACAATTAGTATAGGTTCGACAACTTAGATTAAAGGAGTGTATTGAAATATTAGATTAAATTTGATTAGATTTAATATTTAAATATAATTTAAATTGTGTTAACCCAAACCCAATTAAGGTGGTATATAAATAATCATAATCTGTATCCTTATTTGTAAGGAGTGAAAAAATATAATTTTTATTTCTTTTATTATTCTCTGTTTCACTCTTCACTAAAAATATCTCTGATAGTCATATTTTGAATGGAGTGAGAATTTTCTGCTAAAATTTAAAAATGTTTTGACTTCAGCATTGACACATTGAGTTTGGCTGAGAGAATTGATTAGTTTAGTTATTTTTCCAGTGTGGTCCGGGTGACTCTGCTAGCCGTTTATTTGGAGTTTGGGTAGGGGCAAGCATTAAGTTGCAAGTACCCGTGGCATTTTGTGGTCGAGAATGACGCGGTTCAGTCATATTCAACTCGGTTTTCAGCAAATGGAGGTGTACTATCATGATCTTCGAATCGCGGACTTATATGAATGTTATTTCTCTTGCCTCACTACAGATTTATTGAGTTTTATGATTCTAATTTTAATCTATTTTTTCCCGTGGGTATAGATTGACTTCTGTATAGTTTGTTTTAGGTGGTAGTTGCTAGTTGCTACAGTCTGTTTGGCAAAAGTGTCATGTCTTTGGTGTGTTGAGCTGTAAATATACTGATATATTGTGGCATCACTTATGCCTAGTTAATTTTAATTTATTCATTCCTTTGCTCTTTAATTATTTTTTTTTGAAATCTACCATATTTAATTATAATTTATAAAGCTTAGGTAAAGTAATGGAGAACAGAACAAATCTAACCTAATTGAAGTATTCAAAATCAAACGCTCCTAAAATTAAAAAAACCCATTTCAATTTGCAACATCATATACTACCTACTAAAAATCTTGATGGATCAATTAAAGGACAAGATTCAAGAAAAGTAACACATCTAAAACCACCAGCTTTATCTAACTAAAAAAATCACCAATTGAACCAAATTCAAAATCTTCATTCTGAGCTACCCAGAAAGTAAACCCATAGAGTAAAGACCAAAACTAGATCATCCAATTGCAAAAAAACAAAACTTTATAAAACATTAAATATATACATACATCATCATCTAATCTAACTAGATCGTTAAACATCTACAATCATCCAAAAAAAAAAAAAACATGAATTAGGAGAGAGAAAGAAAGAAACATCATGAAGCCAAGGACATGACAGAGAGTCTACTAGGTGTCGGTTTGAAATTCAACCATCTAAGTGCAAACCGTTTCGGCGCTGGCATCAAAGCTCTTCTCAAAATCTCTTTGCTCGCAACGCGCTTCTTCATCCTTTCCCCTGGTACAACATACCCATGACGCGCACATTGAACTGAACCGGGTCGGCTCGAGCACGTGCAAGCCGGTCTGAACCGTTGAGACATGGGCAAGTAACCCTCGTTCTTGTTTTGTCCGGAAACCAACATCTTTGGTGGAAGTTGCGAACTTTCTTTCGTTTGTTGTTGACTAACGTTTGTGTCTTGCATATCTTCGGAGAAAACTATGTTGTTTTGTTTTGAGGTTTTGAGATTTTATATGAAAAAACTGAGGTTGGTTAAGGTTGGGAAAGATGAGGAAGAGGAAGGTTCATGAATTGTTTTTGGGTTGTTTGAATGATTGACCAAATTGAGGACTTGGTAGCAAGACTTTGTATTAGTAAAGGACTAATATTTGGTCAACTTTATAGTGCTAGAAACACAGATTTGAAATTCGAACGTTTGAGGATTGGTTCTTTAATATTTTTTATTTGGAAAATCTTGTTTGTCACGTTTTGGAGGTGGAGTTGGTCGGAAGAGAAGAACGTTCGGAATGGGCCATGAAGCCCACTTGGCATTGATGGAGCCACATGAATCTTTTATGTGTACTGATGAGTTTGATTTGATTTGAATTTTTATTACTAATATGGAGGAGAATTAGCTTCCACATGTTATATCTATCTTTTTTGTTGTCTAACATAGATAGGTTTTTGTTCACAAAATGCGGTATACAGCTAAATCCCATCTCAAAAGGTTAGTTGGCTAATTGTTGGTTGGGCACATTGGATTATGTTTGGAAAAACTATGACCTTGGTTTATTATTCTCTTTGGATCTTATCATATACAACCCATTGCCACCACCTACTCTCTCATTTCATCATAATTATTGTTTAATAATAATAATAATAATAATAATAATAATAATAATAATAATAATAATAATAATAATATTAATAATATTAATAATAATAATAATAATAATAATAATAATAATTTTTCTTTAACTATAATTTTGTTTCTCTATTTTATCTTGTTCTGTGTGAAAAGAAGATAATGATCAAATAAGGTGCACATAATACTCTATTGCGACATAGTTTTGGTCATGATGCGGTGGATAAAGTTAATCTACAAGGTTAACACTCAAATGTTCAAGTTATTATTGTTGAAAGTAATTCATATTCAGAAGTTGTTAAAATCAGAAGCAGTGTTACTTAGAAGCAGTAGAGCTTCTGAGGCTGTTAGTCAGAAGCAGAAGCTTCTGAGGTTACGCCCAAAAGTATATTTAACTTCTGGGGTTCCAATTGTTTTGTTAGCTTAGCTATTAAGTTAACTTAGTCTTTAAGTTTACTTTTAGTTAGGGCCTACGTGACAATTTACTTTATGTATAAATAGACTAGCAGTAGCTGTCATTTGTAATAAATGTTTTACACTTTGGTACCTGTCATTGCATAGTGATAAATATATTCTCTCATTATTACTTGTCTTCATCATGTTGTTGATGAGTGCAAATTGTAGTTATTTATATATATATATTTTTTGTTGCACTTATCGACTATTTGTTGTTAATATCAGTTTAATAATTCAATTTCATGTATAAATACATTTAGTTTGTCTATAATGCATTTTCGTGTATAAAATGTATCATTTGATATTTTTGTATTCATTTTGTAGGTATTTGAGCATTGTTGGAGCAAGAGGAATAAAAGGTCAAAGATGCATTGTTGGATCAATAAAGGAATAAGACCAAGAAGAGCGAGCCATTAGAGTTATGCAGAAGGAGAAACAAAATTTTTTGTTCTGGCGTGCCTCGTCGGGCGAAGCCTGGGCGAGGAGCCTTCGCGTCGGCCTCACTGGGAAACGGAGGGGCGAGAGGACTGGATCATTTTTTCAGTAGCTACTGACTTGGGCTCGCCAGCAGCTCGCTGGGCGAGAAATAAGGATGTCGCTGGGCGAAGCTTCCCTTCGTCGGGCGAGGGTGGATATTTTTTTCCAGTTGCATACGTGGCATAACCTGGGCCTTGTGTTTAGGAACTGTCGCCGGGCGAGGCTTTTATTACGTCGGGCGACAATGCGGACCAAATTTTGTATATATTTTCATTTTCATTTCATTTTGTTTCGTGATGGTTTTGGGGGGTAATTTTTGCTCCCAACTCCATTAACCCTAATTTTTCTCTAGGTTTAGCTTAGAAAACAACATTGAAACTTGCATACGGATGATTCGGGATGGATTAATCTTTGATCACGCTGACAAACTGGGAGATTTGTGGTTCATTTCTATTCTTCTTTGTGTATTCTTTGTATGTTGAGTTTGTATATGTATTTACTTTGATCTTATGTATATTTGTCGCCCCTGACATTATATAAACTTTGCTTTACAAATCTTTGTGGATTTTTATCCTTAATTTTTGCTCTGTGTTAGGGATTTGGGTTGTTATAGACATATACTGCTCGGATTCCTATCTAGGATGATAGCTTGTTAGTTTCTGGATTCTAGATATAGATTTAGAGCTGGCATTCACTTGGGTATCTGTGATTAATTCCTCTATGTTAGTTGTGTGGAATGAGAGATCGTTAACGCAAGTAGCACAATTGACTTCTATGTTGTTGAGGTTGGTTGAGAGATTGCCACTGAGGTGATACAATGGGTGTTGTGTTTGAAATATGATGACACTGACGAGTATCATAGATTGAGTATAACTGGCCGATAAGTTTAAATTTGTGAGGAGTGGATTATATGCATGCTTGATAAGTTTCCCCTGTGAAGAATGCATTTATTCTGTTGATAACTTTTACACTTTCCATTCAAACCCCCAAACTCATTAACGAATGATTTATGGAACGGAGACTCGATAACTAATCTTTGTGGACACAATACGATATAACTTAAATATCACCCAGTAAAATAATACTTTACTTTTTGCTTGCCTTTATGCCGCTAGAAAACTTGTGCACTAACAATTAGTATCTAGAGCTCCGATTCAGATCCACAGGGAAACACGAAAACACAAGTGAAATGGTGAGGTATTGTGTGATTGATTTCGTTTCTTGAATTCGTGTTGAATCTTGAACGAAATCGTAACAGAATCACATTTTCTGATTTTGTGGGATTGTGAAACATTGTGTTTGGTGTGATCTGAGTGACTTGCACAAGGTTAAAGATGAACGGAAACGGTAGTCTGAGCATCAAACTTCCAGTGTTCGATGGCAAGAACTGGAATTGCTGGATGATTCAAATGTGAATGTTATTCGGTGCTCAAGATGTTCTTGAGCTTGTTACCAAAGGTTACGTTCCAGTTGCTGCGGATGCAACGGAGGAACAAGGAAATGCACAAAGAGACAAAAGGAAGAAAGATCAGAAGGCGCTGTTCTACACTTATCAGTGTGTGGATGTGAACATGTTTGAGAAAATCGCTGATTCGATGACGGTGAAGGTTGCGTGGGACACACTGGTTAGGTGTTATGGTGGTGACACATCAGTGAAGAAAGTGGATTTTCAGTCCCTACAAAAGCAGTATAAGAATCTCAACATGAAGGACAATGATAAGGTATATGAGTACATATCTATCACTAATGAGATGAAAGCTTGTAGAGAAACTCTTTATGAACAAGTAATCATATAGAAGGTATTAATGTCTCTTACTCCTCAATTTGATTACATTATTGTAGTAATTGAACATTCTAAATATCTGGACACTATGAGAATAGAAGAGCTGTAAAGTAGTCTAGAGGCGCAAGAGTTGCGTCTGACTGAAAGAACTTCTGAGAGGGAAGTTGAGCAGGCTCTGAAAGCTTCTTTTGTCAAGAAGGACCAGAAGCAGAAAAACATGGTAGGTCTCAGAAGTCAGAAGTCTTATATTCTAATGGGAAGAAACATCAGAAGGGAAAGGAGAAGTATGACAAGAGAATGGTTCAATGTTACTGTTGCAATAGGTTTTGCCACTTTGCTAAAGATTGTTGGTCAAACAAAGAAGAAGCAAAAATAGTTAGAGAATATTCTAATGATAAACCTGTGCTATTGATGGCTTATAAAAATAATGAGGAACCTGTGCAATTGTCATTTTTTTATTCTGAAGAGGAAAAAGATGACTCTGAATATTCCAAAGGAGTGTTTTAATATGAGTCAGAATCAAAAGAAGACTTTGAAGATTCTGAAGATGAGTCTGAATATGAGGTTTTTTAAGATGAGTCAGAGTCAGAAGATGAAGATAATTATGGAGACTCTAAAGATGAGTCAGAGTCTGATGGAGCTTATGAAGATGATGTAAGTACGAAGTGCGCCTAAGAAGGGGGGGCGGGTGAATTAGGTACTTTATAATTTTTCTGGTTTTAGTGATGATGGATATTATTTTCTGGTTTATGGTAAGTTTATGAAAGAGTAAAGTGCAGAAAAATAAAGAGACACAAGCGATATATCCTGGTCCCCCTTACAGTATGAGAGTACTCCAATCCCCTTTCAAAACAAAAGATATTTCCTTATTATGGCAAACTTAAACAAGAACTACCCAAAACCAAGAACAATCCTCTTGGACCAAGAACAATCCTCTTGAATTTTCACTATATCAACAATGAGAATAATCCTCTCAAAGTGACTTTACTTGTATCCAACAATACTGGAAAAACATGATTACAAAACCACTTGAACTTATTTTCAATAATCCTGAAAAATAAGCAAGTATATAACAATATTTGATTTGAGTGAGTTTGTGTAGTAATGATCACTTTGAGTAATTTTATCAATGAATTGATCTTCTCTTCCAATAAATATAGTATACAATGACTCAAGATATATAATGCTCAAAGTTTTCTGGTTGACAATATGTGAAAGTGTGCAGAAAACTTGTGTATGAAAGTGTATAAAAGCTTGAGTTTGATTTTTGAAAATTCAGAAAATATGATTGGAAGAGGTACTTCAAATGATTTTGAAAATGAGTATTTATATGTTCATAGCACCCTTTTGAAACAACATATAATTCTGCAAATGAATCATGAACAATTGCCAAGATTGAGTGAAAAGTTTCCATGAAGTGGTGTTATGAACAGGCATGAGTAAAGTTGATGTTTTTCAAAATCGTTCAGCATGCAATCGATTGCACCCTTGTGTAAATCGATTGCACGAGGTTTCAACAGCTAAAAATTCAAATATTTTAAGTGAGCAATCGATTGCACAAGTGTGTAAATCGATTGCACTTGAAGTCAGTAGCAAAAATTGATTGAGAGAAATTGATTGCACA